CACATAACGACTAGTCCCACAATAGGTACTGCACGGTTATTGTACTTTTAATGCGAGAAGGCAGTGTTACACTATTCCGTCTGTATATGATCGCCATGTAAGCAGATTACATTAACAAGTAGTTTTAACGTGTTGAATAGTATATGTAATCAGTAAATATTACATTTTCACTCATGTATTTGTTGCTTTACACCAAATAAGCACAGTAATAATATGTATATTTAAAAAAAACACAATGTATTTCAACTAAATGTATAACAAAAATTGGTGTTTTAAATTCTTAGCAATCACATTTTTTTCCCTAGACACCTAAGCATTCATGGTGTACACATAGCATCTCATCATTTCCCAACGATATCATGATACAGGCAGTAATATCACGTTGCCATATGCGCATCTGACATTATTCAATGGAATGAAAAATAATTACGACCACTTAGAAATTGCCTTACTGCAAGGCGTTGTCATTCCAGTAATGACATAAAGTCAGAATTCCTCCGATAATTTCTTGAACGAGATATGACAACACATTCATTGGATCATGTCACAAATTGTGAAATACATTACTCCCCGATACATGTAAAGCACAGACGTGGACACATCACGTAACGTGAGGTCACGTTTCTAAGTAAATTGCAGTACTTTTATTACATCGACACGTCATGCAGCAGCAGTTAATGGGAAAGTACACGTATTGCGCGCATTAACTTTATGTACTGGCACATCATTTACAACACCTTCAATAACTGGACCTGATGTTCAATCTCTCAAATAAATCCACAGTGCTAGCCGACTACTGCAAGGCCACACACAAGAGGCAGTGGAATACCACGGATAGTCACAGAATGTATGTGGGTATTTTTTCTCCCTGCAGCATGAAGCATACAAATGAATTTTTCTTTTAGATATCATGGCATAACAGCACAACATTTCCTGATCTTTTCTCCATTTTATCTCTCTCTCTCTCCTATATTATCGAATAACCGACGAGTGCCACGCTTTACCGATAAAAAGCGCTTACACATGTGTAACTTCCAAAAAAGGGGGGGGGGGAAATCAGTGACAAAAGCTACAGACAGCTTAACTTCCAAGAATTTCCAGTTTGCCTGGAAGAGAGAGAGGGGGGGGGGAAGAAACTCACCATATGGAAGTGAATACCATTTAATTGGTGACACAGATGGAAAGTTATACAGTATTGTGCATTTGCATGTCCCACGTTAAATTTTCCGGGCAATTTCAAATTGGGAGAGAGATGGGGGAATGTTTGCATGGAAAAAGTCGACGAAGAAACAAATGACGTGGTCATCATTATGCACTGTACAACACCCCTCTTTTGCAGTTGCTGTGTGTGTGTGTGGTCAGAACTCAAAGAGTTTGTTAACATCTTAAATTTGAAATAATTTAAAGTGGGGGGGGGGGGGGGGGGGAGCAGTGAGAGCACACGAGATGTTCACGAGTTGCTGCTGGACAAAACATCGTGCACTTAACAACGATCTGGGCATAATTAGGAAGGCTTTGAGTAACGAAAGAGCGTTATGTAATACCTTGAAACCTACCCCCCGTCGTTCCCCAAACGTCGACTGTCGTGACATATCCAACATCTACCTAATAACGAAAGCGTGCAAACCACTGTACACCCGCTCATGAATAATAAAACTTAACAACAAGAACAATAAGGCTGCAACGGATGCACGTACGTGGACACGCATCCTTAACAAAGGTTCGTGTCGATTATAATTGAAAAAATATATATTTATTCTTTAATGAAATAAATCCTATTCATTAGCCACATTTCACCACATTGTCTTTCACGTATATAAACATTCGCGACAATACATACCCTTACATATCAGCCATTGAATGGCAGCTCGTTACAAAACACGTTATGCAATTCATAGGACAAAGTAATTAAATAATCTGGAACTCGTATCAAGGTTCATAACAAACCCAGGTATACTTTGTATTTTCATCTCAATGCATACATTTAAAAAAACGTTCAGTTAACAAACTTGAGAACAAAGTTAGGCTCTAAATGGCTCCTTTTCCCCTTATACATCCATTCAGTTTGAATTATGTAATGATTATGTAAGTAAGTGTTGACGGTTAAGAATAACTCGTTGCGGAGCTTAAAGCAATACGATGTGGTTTACAAATGTATTCTTTAGTCACGATACCCGGACTGTCACACGTCACTGAATGGCCACGGTGGACTTCCTCCTCCTCCCTGTGCTTTTGAGACAGCCTGAATTTTAACAACTTTATACACACACACAAACTAAAGGTAAGTGCTAAACAAGCCTTAGAAGTACCTTCACACTGGGACTCTGCCAACGTCCACGAATGCCACGTGGTGGTGGCACCACAGTTAGAGTCGCACCACTTTACACACGTGTCCCCATCCCGCCACTGTGTCTCAATTACACAAGAATGTACAGTGCCCACATATAACCTTACCCGAGGACCCAAAGACCATTATTATTATAAAGCCGGGGATATTTAATACCATATTCATTGACAAAGCTTACGAGTCGAAGCGCAAATGTTTTAAATGTATAACCCAATAGAGCGAGGCCACCGACAGCTGTATCCGCATTCACAAGACGGACGGACTTGCACAGTGGCATTGTCTTCGACGTTGCAATTAATTACAACCTAAACCACTACTAATACACAGTATAGCAAACCGAGCGATGCGTCATCTTTAAGACTTGTAAGAGTGTTTCCTACACCTCATCATGTACCACAACGTAACGAGTGAGTGATGGCGAGTTCAACATGCAATGTAAAATTTGCCCGCACATTTTGCAGCCTCAAATTGTGTACAATGTAAGGGGCGTATACTGTATGCGTGTGCTGTGTATAACTTGCAGGAAGTTACTACTATACACGATGCAGAGAGGTCTCAGCTCCACAAAAACACAATCCACGTTGCATTTAGCAAATCGCTACCGTTCAAAAGCAACGTGTTAATCATGAGAAGGCAAGACTAAGGCCAGTCACCTTCATTTTTGCCCATTTTAAGAGTTTCAATTTCTAAAAGCAGTTAATGCATCCAAGGGTCTACTTTTCTAGTCTTCCAAATATGATAGAGCTGACAATAGTGAACCACAACAGTGAACCACACTCCAATCACATGGTGAGAAGTGCTCTCAATCGAGTGTGACTGGTGGAATTGTGAATAACCAAATCTTTTCAACAATATATACTCAGCGTTATAGTCGTGTAAACCACAGTATTCAGCGATAAAGGATAAATTAAACCATTCAAAGTGTGTCATGATACAATTATTAAGAATCCTGTGAACTAAACAAAATAACTTATAGCCTTATTTAGCACTGCAGCTACACACCACATTCTTCTGTTCCTTATCCACAGTCACACAATCTATGAAGTGTTGTCGTCCATCCCACCAATCGAATTAAGGTAAGCAACAAGGTCAGTGTTAACTCTGCCGCACTAAACGGTGCTCAGAGTTACACCCTTCACAATTCCCCGAAGCTAGAATAGATTTTTTTGTTTTGTTTTACAAACATTTGTGAGTAAGATGTTGAGTGCACCAAACACCGAATCTTAAACACAGCCGGGCCAACACGTGGGGCGAGTTCTCTAACTTCTGCGACGACGACTAATCGTATTTTTTTGGGTTAGAGCGTGTTAAATATAAATGGTGTGTCGTTAAACCTGCCGCCACCCGACGCTGCCAATCGCTAAGGGGTTTGTAAGGGAGAGAGAAAACAAACGTGCCAATTCGTTACTAGTACAGCACTAACCGGTTGTGTGTTGAGTAAACCCACTTACAACATTTACAATTCGAATACAACAACACAACCGGTTTAGTGCTGTACGAGGAACGAATTGTCACGTTTTGTGCGGACAAAACCCCCTTACTAATTGGGCCGTGTCGGGTGGTGGCGGGTTTAACGACACAAATAACCCCCCCCCCCCCCCCCCGACTACTGCGCGTTGAACCAACAACAAAGCATGGCTTGAAGCTGTCAGCTTAAGTTTTAACTCAAGCAACTCTGGTGCTCTTTACTGTCAACAACAACTGTAACGTTTTTTTACAACAACGAATTTATTGTTTTTCACGTTTCTGGGCTAGGCTAAGTTGTGCAAGATTATGTCACCGTTCAAAGATGACAATAAAAACTAAAATATCAATATCTGTCAACCCCCCCTTATCAGTGTCCTACCTTATTACTACTGACCATTAACACAGACCTTATTGGTCAACCCCCGTGCCCTTATACATTTCAAAGTTCATCCTTACAAAGTACCATCACAACAAGGGAGAAACACAACACAAATAAACAATGTTTAGTTGTTGTCAGTATTGAAACGTCCGCACGCCGTATGGACCTGATAAACTCAATTTCCCTGTACACGAATTAATTGACAGGTATGAACAACGACAACAACAAACTCTACACTTTGTCATCAGATACGTTGAGTAATAATACTGCTGACATTAAAAAAAACACATCGTGGGACATGTTCTTAATGGGAATAGCGCTTAAATAGTAACGCCACGCAGTTGGGGGGATAAACCAGTGGACAAAACACGTGGATCTTGTACCGAAACCATTCAAACTTTGATTTAAAGCTTTCGTGACTGCAGGGATTCATATTCCTGGTTCTTTCGGTAAAGTCACCACCACGTAGAAGGGAAACAATAAAATAATAAAAAAATATAATACAATTCTCACGACGTTTCGACTGCAACACAAGCAATTGCTTGTTTTATATTTGTATTATTTTATTGTTTCCCTTCTACGTGACTTTACCGAAAGAACCAAGAATATACATTCAAACTTTTTTTTTAAAAAAACCTGTTTACAACTTTACCAGCTGATATGTAACCCGCATTGATTTTTTTTAAACCACGAATTGCAACGCGTGCAGCTAACAATTTGACATTAAAATTGCATCGGAAGTCGACGACATTTCCTCTAGATATTTAAACATTCTGCGTGTGTGTGTTTGTTTGTGTGTTTGCTCACCGTTGCTTTCTGGCCACGGAGTAGTCCACGTCGAGCGCCTTCCCGTGGAGTTCAACTTTCCCTGCGGAGAAGGAAGAGGAGACCAAGAGTCGAGCAAAGCCCCCCCAACACCACCAACATCACCACCATCACCACCACGGGACCTTTTGTTCACAACAAAGATCCCCCCGTGTAGCCATCAACAGAATGATGGAGGGGAGGGCATGTGCTGTTAGCGAGTAGCAACAGCCACGAAGGTCGGAACTGTGGCACACGAGGGGGTGCTGGGTGGCCAGCACCACGCCCGGCCGCCTTTGTCTCCCCCACCCCCCCCAGTGGAGATGTTTACTGAACACCGCTACGCCAGGTGCTCGTTTGAGGCCGAGCCGACCTAGGCTAGGGTCGAGATAATCGTCGTCGTTGGTCGTGGTGGTGATTGTGGTGATTGTGGTTGATGGTCGTGGTGGTGAGTGTGGTGGTGTTGGCTGATGGTGGTGTTGGTTGATGGTGGTGGCGAGTGTGGTGATGGTGGTGTTGGTTGATGGTCGTGGTGGTGGTGATGGTGGTGTTGGTTGATGGTGATGTTGATTGATGGTGATGTTGGTTGATGGTGATGTTGGTTGATGGTTGTGGTGCGCGGGCATCAAACTCGGTAAGTCTTAAGCGTGGCGCTTTGTTCTCTACGCGACCGTGGCCCCGGTGGTTTACACACCACACCACACTTGTACCCATCCCCCCCCCTGTCGCATCTATAAGATCGTGTAGTAGTAGTATTATATATGCTCGTTTGTTTGCAGATTCTCTCTCTTAAAGATTAACATCGTTTACAGAACGCGTTACCGAACGAGAGATGGCGTGCAACCCCCCTCCCCACACACACGTGGTGGTGATGGTCGTGGTGATGGTGATGGTGGTGATGATGGTGATGATGGTGGTGGTGATGGTGGTTGTCGTGGTGGTGATGATGGTGGTGATGGTGGTTGTCGTGGTGGTCGTCGTGGTGATGGTGGTGATGATGGTGATGGTGGTGATGATGGTGATGGTGGTGATGATGATGGTGATGATGATGGTGGTTGTCGTGGTGGTGATGGTGGTGATGATGGTGATGGTGGTTGTCGTGGTGGTGATGGTGGTTGTCGTGATGGTGGTGATGATGGTGATGGTGGTTGTCGTGGTGATGATGGTGATGGTAGTGATGATGGTGATGGTGGTCGTGGTGGTGATGATGGTGGTGATGGTGGTTGTTGTGGTGATGGTGGTGATGATGATGGTGGTTGTCGTGGTGGTGATGGCGGTCACCACCCTCAACAACAATCACGACCACGACTTTAAACGAGAAACCCGTAAACTTAACCCAAGTTAAACGCAGAACAAAAGGAGGCACGGTAAAACTTTCTCGCTTTGTTATAAAGAACTTACAGTATATATACACACACATACACACGCATGCACTTCAGTGCAGCGAGTGGGAATAGAGAAATTACACTATAGCGATAAAGAATTGCGGCATACTATCACATTGTTATTGTAATAGTAACGACAATAACAATGCTTAGTCTGTTGCCCTTCCCCCGCACCTCCGACTAGCGCGGTTGGCTAGGTACGGTGGGAAAGAAGTTTAACATACAGGACATACAATAGACGTGATGATGGTGGTGATGGTGAAGATGTTTGGTGATGATGTTGGTGATGGTGAAGATGGTGCTGACGGTGGTTAAGATGACGGTGGTGGTGACGGTTAAGGCGGTGATGGTGAAGATGGTGGCGGTGAAGGATACTGTGGTGGTGATGGCGATGGTGATCGTGGTGATGGCGAAGGTAGTGGTGGCGATGGTGGTGGTGATGAAGGTAGTGGTGGCGATGGTGGTGGTGATGAAGGTAGTGGTGGTGATGGTGGTGAAGGTAGTGGTGGCGATGGTGGTGGTGATGAAGGTAGTGGTGGTGATGATGAAGGTAGTGGTGGTGATGGTGGTGATGATGAAGGTAGTGGTGGTGATGGTGGTGATGAAGGTAGTGGTGGCGATGGTGGTGAAGGTAGTGGTGGCGATGGTGGTGAAGGTAGTGGTGGCGATGGTGGTGGTGATGAAGGTAGTGGTGGTGATGGTGGTGATGAAGGTAGTGGTGGTGATGAAGGTAGTGGTGGCGATGAAGGTAGTGGTGGTGATGGTGATGATGAAGGTAGTGGTGGCGATGGTGGCGATGAAGGTAGTGGTGGTGATGAAGGTAGTGGTGGCGATGGCGGTGATGGTGGTGATGAAGGTAGTGGTGTCAATGGTGGTGATGGTGGCTTGATGGGTGGACACGAGGACAGAGGTAGTCAGTCACGACCATGCCTCACCACCACCACCACGTCAACCCGACGTGTCTCTCACGTCAACCCGACGTCGCATGGTCAACGAGGATCGAGAGTTGTGGGGGTGCCAGGGGCCGAGGTGGCGTGAACCCCCCAAACGATGGTGACAAATCCCCGGTTCGACTTCAGCACGGGGAAGCCCCCCCAAACACACCCCCACACACACACCCCCACACCCCCCCACCCCTCCTCTCGCGGTTTTCCCCGAGAATTAGAGAATTAAAATCCCCCCGACAGAAACAAAACACGTGGGCTACAACTATCGCCTAACACCAAAATCATCGCGTGGTGGGAATGACGACGGCGACGGGCGGGGTTTTTTTTTACTTGTCGCTCGATGTGGTATTTACCATGAAAAAAATAGTACAAATTTAAACTCTCCCCCACCCCCCGCTAGCCCGCGGTGGTGGTGCTGGTGGTGGCATTCGCACCACAAATCCACCAACCCACCACGCACCACCACCACCACCCTACCACCAAGCACCACCACCCCACCACGCACCACTCAACCGACCATCCACCACCACCCCACCACCACTACTCACCACCCAACCGACCATCCACCAAGCACCACCAACTCACTACTCACCACCCAATCGACCATCCACCAAGCACCACCAACCCACCACCAAGCACCACCCAACCGACCATCCACCACCACACCACCACCACCCCACCACCAACCCGCCACCAAGCACCACCACCAAGCACCACCCACCACGAACCACCACCCCACTACCACCACCAACCCACCACCACCGTACCCTTATTTTCACGATAACCGTGGCTAGTGCGAGTCGGTGCTGTGTTGGTTAAGAAGATAATAGTTTGTTGTCGTGGTGGTTTAATAGTAGGGGGGCACCCCCCCCCCACCCCGTCTCCCTGCACGCCGAGTTGGCCCGGGAGACAGCAGGGGAAAGGCAGTGGAGCAGGAGAAGGGGGCCGCCTCTTGTCAACTTGTGGGTGGGACATGGCGGGAGAACACACACACACTGCTACCACTGCTGCTGCTGGTGTATATAATAATCATTAGTTTACACACAGGCATGCAGTACATATTTATATTAACAACATAGCACACGCTCACGTGTGTGCTAATGTTACGGAGTGTGATGCCTTGCGACTGCAGTGTGGATGTTGCGCTCCACCATCACACGGACCGCCACCACCACCATCACACCACGAACCACCACACACTAGGGACCATCGTCACACGGACCTCCACCACCACCACCACCACACCACAGAACATTACAGCACGAACCACCACCACCACACCACGGACCATCACCATCAACACACGGCCCACCACATTAGGGTCCACCAGACTAGGGGACCATCAACCACACAAGGGAGGGACCACATCACCATCATCACACGGACCACCAAAACTCCACCACCGCACCAATGACACATGGGGACCATCAACAACACAAGGGACCATCAACACACGGCCCACCACATTAGGGTCCACCAGACTAGGGGACCATCAACAACACAAGGGACCATCATCACACGGGCCCACTACATTAGGGACCATCAGTGATCCAACCATCACACGGACCACCAGACTAGGGGACCATCAACCACACAAGGGAGGGCCCACATCACCATCATCACACGGACCACCAAAACTCCACCACCGCACCAATACCACATGGGGACCATCATCACCACCACGGAGACCATCGACCCTACGAACCACTGCGCGTCCTAGTTTTATGGGTAAATCCCCTACATCTTGCGCAAACATTTAACACGAACGAGCCTCTTCAATAATAAAAAAAATCACCGAAACTCTAAAATATAATACCAGCGTATAAGAGGCGACGTTCTAGCCAATGTAAAGCCGACTTTGACTCCGTGTGGTGTTGTGTTTACACGAGAGAGAAGCGTGTGATGGGGTAATATGTAAGTGAGGATGTTAAGAGTTATATTTGTTGCGTGAGTTTATATTTAAAGTGCGTTACGCGAGAGTGATAACTGCAAGTGTTCGTGTGAAATTTAAGAGTGTGAATCTGTATTGTTGGGTCCGTACTGCTGCATTAGTGAATGTGTCTATGCTGTTTATCTAAACAAGTCAGTCAGTCAATGTGAGGCTATGTCTCTATGTACTACTCTGAGTTTGTGTACGTGAGTGAATGTATTTGTGTATGATGTCTGTGAATGAGTCTCTGTATCCTGTATGATGTGAATGAGTACATTTCAGTGTGTCTGTGAGTCGATGTCTGTGAATGAGTCTCTGTATCCTGCATGGCTGTGAATTAGTACATCTCAGTGTGTCTGTCAGTCGATGTCTGTGAATGAGTCTCTGTATCCTGTATGATGTGAATGAGTACATTTCAGTGTGTCTGTGAGTCGATGTCTGTGAATGAGTCTCTGTATCCTGCATGGCTGTGAATGAGTACATCTCAGTGTGTCTGTCAGTCGATGTCTGTGAATGAGTCTCTGTATCCTGCATGGCTGTGAATGAGTACATCTCAGTGTTTCTGTCAGTCGATGTCTGTGAATGAGTCTCTGTATCCTGCATGGCTGTGAATGAGTACATTTCAGTGTGTCTGTCAGTCGATGTCTGTGAATGAGTCTCTGTATCCTGCATGGCTGTGAATGAGTACATCTCAGTGTGTCTGTGAGTCGATGTCTGTGAATGAGTCTCTGTATCCTCTATGGCTATGAATGAGCACATCGGTTTGCATCGTCTCTAACACGCCTGTGAGTAGCGAGTGAGTGAATGGGTGAGCACCAACGTGAATCTGGTTGTTGGTGGATGGGTGGATGGTGGATGATGGGTGGGTGGTGGATGATGGGTGGATGGTGGATGATGGGTGTGTGGTGGATGATGATGGGTGGGTGGATGATGATGGGTGGATGGTGGGGTGCCCGGCGAGTCGTGAGCGAGTGAGCAACAGCGTGACTGGCCGGTGGTGGTGGGTGATGGATGGGTGGTGGATGATGGGTGGATGATGGGTGGATGGTGGGGTGCCCAGCGAGTCGTGAGTGAGCAATAGCGTGACTGGCTGGTGGTGGTGGGTGATGGATGGGTGGTGGTGGTGGATGATGGGTGGGTGGTGGATGGTGGGTGATGGTTGGGTGGTGGATGGTGGGTGATGGTTGGGTGGTGTGGCGCCCTGTGAGTAGCGAGTGAGTGAATGAGTGAGCGACAGCATGACTGTCCGGTGGTGGTGGGTGGTGGTGGTGGGTGATGGGTGGGTGGTGGTGGATGCTGGGTGGGTGGTGGATGATGATGGGTGGTGGATGATGGTTGGGTGGTGTGGCGCCCTGTGAGTAGCGAGTGAGTGAGTGAGCGACAGCGTGAATCTTGTTGCTGGTAGTGGTGGCGGTGGTGGATGGTGGCGGGTTGCCGAGTGAGCGAGCGAGCGAGCACCAAGCTTAACTCTGGTGATGTATGGTGTGGTGTGTGGGTTGGTGGATGGGTTGCTGGTTGCTTCGCCGAGCGAGTGAACGAACGAGCAACCGGCGTGAATCTTGTTGCTGGTAGTGGCGGGTGACGGACGGGTTTGCTGGTTGCTTTGCCGAGCGAGTGAACGTCTGCGAAAGACTCTGGTTGGTTGGCGGTGGATGATGTACTGGGGATGACTTCAGGGAGTGTGGTGGTGATCATGATGATGATGGTGACGACGGCCACGGCGATGATGATCATGACGATGATGGTGGTGGTGCCCGCAACGCACCCGAGAGTGTCTCGATGGCCCGCAGAGCGCTCGTGTCGTCGGGGCAGTCGACGAAGGCGTAGCCGCCCGCCTTGAGCACGAAGTGTCCGAGCCAGGGCAGCTGCCGCTCGGCGAAGAGCCCCTCCAGGTCGGCGGCGCTCGTTGCCTCGCTCACGTTGCCGATGTACAGCTTGTTCATGGCTGCTGGGGGGCTGTGGGGGGCTGCTGGGGAGGGGGGGGCGGCGGCGTTGGGTTGGTGGTTTTGTTTGGTTGTTTTGGTTGTTTGGTTGTTTTGAGTCGCCCGCGTGGGTCAGAAATCAACGACGGACGTGCGACGATATAAACAACAACAACTACTACCGACCACCACCACCACCCCCCACACAACAAGAGGGCACCCCGAGCGGAACTCGAAAGCCACGACCACCACGGCTCGCCCCAACAACTCACAACGCTCAGATGAAACACAACAAAGGCGCTTGCTGATTATGCTGCTGCTTGATGCTTGCTGCTGTTGTTTGTTGTTGTTGTTTGTTGTTGTTGTTGTTGGCCGGAAAGAAGTCGTTCCCGTGGAATCCCTTCCCCGACCCCCCACACACACAATCCTTCCACCACCACCGCCAACTCCGCCTTGCTGCTGGCGCTACACGACGGTGGTGGTTGTTGATGGTGGTTGTTGTTGTTGTTGGTGGTTGTTGTTGTTGATGGTGGTGGTGGTGGTTGATGGTCGAACGACCCGAGGTCAGCCCTATAGCTGGCGACGGGGCAGATGGAAGAAGCGCGGTGGCTGCTGTTGCTGATGTCCGTGGAGCTGTTGCTGCTGCTGCTGTTGTTGTTGGTGGTGGTGGACGATGTTGAGGAAGAGGAGAAGCGGTGGAGCGGCCGAGCGTGGCCGCACGTCGTGGTGATGGTGGTGGTGGTGATGGTGGGGAGCTCAGTGCGAGTAAAATGTCGCCGAGCCGACATGAGGAGGGCTCGGGGCTTTAGCGCCGCCTCGAAATAAAATCGCTCCCGAAAAATGCGCGGAAAATCGCATCCGCTGCTGCCGCCGCCGCCGCCACCAACCACGGCCACCACCACCAAGCAACTACGAACACCACCAACCACCACCACGGCCACCACCAGCACCACCACGGCCACCACCAGCACCACCACCGCGGCCACCACGGCCACCACCACCAACTACGACCACCACCAACCACCAGCACCACCACCAACCAGCACCACCAGCACCAACCACGACCACCAGCACCACCAGCAGCACCACCACGACCACCACGGACACGACCACCACCGACACGACCACCACCAACCAGCACCACGACCACCTGCACCACGGCCACCACCACAACAGCAGCGGGCCAGCGATCAGAGCACGTGGAGCGGAGGGCGAGAGGGTGGAAGGGGAGAGTAGAGAGTGTGGGGAGAGTAGAGAGTGTGGGGAGAGTAGAGAGTGTGGAGAGAGTGTGGGGAGAGTAGAGAGTGTGGGGAGAGTGTGGGGAGAGTAGAGAGTGTGGGGAGAGTAGAGAGTGTGGGGAGAGTAGAGAGTGTGGGGAGAGAGTGTGGGGAGAGTAGAGAGTGTGGGGAGAGTAGAGAGTGTGGAGAGAGTGTGGGGAGAGTAGAGCGTGTGGGGAGAGTGTGGGGAGAGTAGAGAGTGTAGGGAGAGTGTGGGGAGAGTAGAGAGTGTGGGGAGAGTAGAGAGTGTGGAGAGAGTAGAGAGTGTGGGTAGAGAGTAGAGAGAGTGGGGAGAGTAGAGAGTGTGGGGAGAGTGTAGAGAGTGTGGGGAGAGAGTAGAGAGTGTGGGGAGAGAGTGTGGGGAGAGTAGAGAGTGTGGGGAGAGAGTAGTGAGTGTGGGGAGAGTAGAGAGTGTGGGGAGAGAGTAGAGAGTGTGGGGAGAGAGTAGAGAGTGTGGGGAGAGTGTGGGGAGAGTAGAGAGTGTGGGTAGAGAGTAGAGAGTGTGGGGAGAGTAGAGAGTGTGGGGAGAGAGTAGAGAGTGGGGAGAGAGTAGAGAGTGGGGAGAGAGTAGAGAGTGTGGGGAGAGAGTAGAGAGTGTGGGGAGAGTAGAGAGTGTGGGGAGAGAGTAGAGAGTGTGGGGAGAGAGTAGAGAGTGTGGGGAGAGTAGAGAGTGTGGGGAGAGAGTAGAGAGTGTGGGGAGAGTAGAGAGTGTGGGGAGAGAGTAGAGAGTGTGGGGAGAGAGTAGAGAGTGTGGGGAGAGTGTGGGGAGAGAGAGTAGAGAGTGTGGGGAGAGAGTAGAGAGTGTGGGGAGAGAGTAGAGAGTGTGGGGAGAGTAGAGAGAGTGGGGAGAGTAGAGAGTGTGGGGAGAGTAGAGAGTGTGGGGAGAGTAGAGAGTGTGGGGAGAGAGTAGAGAGTGTGGGGGGGAGAGTAGAGAGTGTGGGGAGAGATTAGAGAGTGTGGGGAGAGTGTGGGGAGAGAGAGTAGAGAGTGTGGAGAGAGTAGAGAGTGTGGGGAGAGTAGAGAGTGTGGTGAGAGAGTAGAGTGTGGGGAGAGTACAGAGTGTGGGGAGAGTAGAGAGTGTGGGGAGAGTAGAGAGTGTGGGGAGAGTAGAGAGTGTGGGGGGAGAGTAGTGTGTGTGGGGAGAGAGTAGAGAGTGTGGGGAGAGAGTAGAGTGTGGGGAGAGTATAGAGTGTGGGGAGAGAGTAGAGAGTGTGGGGAGAGTAGAGAGTGTGGGGAGAGAGTAGAGAGTGTGGGTAGAGTAGAGAGTGTGGGGAGAGAGAGTAGAGAGTGTGGGGAGAGAGTAGAGTGTGGGGAGAGTAGAGAGTGTGGGGAGAGTAGAGAGTGTGGGGAGAGAGTAGAGAGTGAGGGGAGAGTAGAGAGTGTGGGGAGAGGGTAGAGAGTGTGGGGAGAGCGTAGAGAGTGTGGGGAGAGCGTAGAGAGTGTGGGGAGAGCGTAGAGAGTGTGGGGAGAGTAGAGAGTGTGGGGAGAGAGTAGAGAGTGTGGAGAGAGAGTAGAGAGTGTGGGGAGAGAGTAGAGAGTCTGGGGAGAGAGTAGAGAGTGTGGGGAGAGTAGAGAGTTGTGGGGAGAGAGTAGAGAGTGTGGAGAGAGTAGAGAGTGTGGGAAGAGCGTAGAGAGTGTGGGGAGAGTAGAGAGTGTGGGGAGAGAGTAGAGAGTGTGGAGAGAGAGTAGAGAGTCTGGGGAGAGAGTAGAGAGTGTGGGGAGAGTAGAGAGTGTGGGGAGAGTAGAGTGTGTGGAGAGAGTAGAGAGTGTGGGGAGAGAGTAGAGAGTGTGGGGAGAGAGTAGAGAATGTGGGGAGAGAGTAGAGAGTGTGGGGAGAGTAGAGAGTGTGGGGAGAGAGTAGAGAGTGTGGGGAGAGCGTAGAGAGTGTGGGGAGAGTAGAGAGTGTGGGGAGAGAGAGTAGAGAGTGTGGGGAGAGAGTAGAGAGTGTGGGGAGAGAGTAGAGAGTCTGGGGAGAGAGTAGAGAGTGTGGGGAGAGTAGAGAGTTGTGGGGAGAGAGTAGAGAGTGTGGAGAGAGTAGAGAGTGTGGGGAGAGAGTAGAGAGTGTGGGGAGAGTAGAGAGTGTGGAGAGAGTAGAGAGTGTGGGGAGAGAGTAGAGAGTGTGGGGAGAGAGTAGAGAATTAGGGGAGAGAGTAGAGAGTGTGGGGAGAGTAGAGAGTGTGGGGAGAGTGTGGGGAGAGAGTAGAGAGTGTGGGGAGAGAGTAGAGATTGTGGGGAGAGAGTATAGAGTGTGGTGAGAGAGAGTTTGGGGAGAGAGTAGAGAGTGTGGGGAGAGAGTAGAGAGTGTGGGGAGAGAGTGTGGGGAGAGAGTAGAGAGTGTGGGGAGAGAGTAGAGAGTGTGGGGAGAGTGTAGAGAGTGTGGGGAGAGTAGAGATTGTGGGGAAAGAGTAGAGAGTGTGGAGAGAGTAGAGAATTTGGGGAGAGAGTAGAGAGTGTGGGGAGAGAGTAGAGAGTGTGGGGAGAGTGTAGAGAATGTGGGGAGAGAGTAGAGAGTGTGGGGAGAGAGTAGAGAGTGTGGGGCGAGAGTATAGAGTGTGGGGAGAGTAGAAATTGTGGGGAGAGTAGAGAGTGTGGGGAGAGAGTAGAGAGTGTGGGGAGAGAGTAGAGAGAGTGGGGAGAGTGTGGGGAGAGAGTAGAGAGTGTGGGGAGAGAGTAGAGAGTGTGGGGAGAGAGTAGAGAGTGTGGGGAGAGTAGAAAGTGTGGGGAGAGAGTAGAGAGTGTGGGGAGAGTGTGGGGAGAGTAGAGAGTGTGGGGAGAGTGTGGGGAGAGTAGAGAGTGTGGGGAGAGAGTAGAGAGTGTGGGGAGAGAGTAGAGAGAGAGTGGGGAGAGTGTGGGGAGAGTAGAGAGTGTGGGGAGAGTAGAGATTGTGGGGAGAGAGTAGAGAGTGTGGAGAGAGTAGAGAATGTGGGGAGAGAGTAGAGAGTGTGGGGAGAGAGTATAGAGTGTGGGGAGAGTGTAGAGAGTGTGCGGAGAGAGTGTGGGGAGAGAGTAGAGAGTGTGGGGAGAGAGTAGAGAGTGTGGGGAGAGAGTAGAGAGTGTGGGGAGAGTATAGAGTGTGGGGAGAGAGTAGCGAGTGTGGAGAGAGAGTAGAGAGTGTGGGGAGAATAGAAAGTGTGGGGAGAGTGTAGGGAGTGTGGGGAGAGTGTGGGGAGAGTAGGGAGAGTGTGGGGAGAGTGTGGGGAGAGTAGAGAGTGTGGGGAGAGTGTAGAGAGTGTGGGGAGAGAGTAGAGAGTGTTGGGAGAGAGTAGAGAGAGTGGGGAGAGTGTGGGGAGAGTAGAGATTGTGGGGAGAGTAGAGAGTGTGGGGAGAGAGTAGAGAGTGTGGGGAGAGAGTAGAGAGAGTGGGCAGAGTGTGGGGAGAGAGTAGAGAGTGTGGGGAGAGTGTAGAGAGTGTGGGGAGAGAGTAGAGAGTGTGGGGAGAGAGTAGAGAGTGTGGGGAGAATAGAAAGTGTGGGGAGAGTGTAGGGAGTGTGGGGAGAGTGTGGGGAGAGTAGGGAGAGTGTGGGGAGAGTGTGGGGAGAGTAGAGAGTGTGGGGAGAGTGTAGAGAGTGTGGGGAGAGAGTAGAGAGTGTTGGGAGAGAGTAGAGAGAGTGGGGAGAGTGTGGGGAGAGTAGAGATTGTGGGGAGAGTGTGGGGAGAGAGTAGAGAGTGTGGGGAGAGAGTAGAGAGTGTGGGGAGAGTAGAGAGTGTGGGGAGAGAGTAGAGAGTGTGGGGAGAGAGTAGAGATTGTGGGGAGAGAGTAGGGAGAGTGGGGAGAGTGTGGGGAGAGAGTAGAGAGTGTGGGGAGAGTATGGGGAGAGTGTAGAGAGTGTGGGGAGAGAGTAGAGAGTGTGGGGAGAGAGTAGTGAGTGTGGGAGAGTAGAGAGTGTGGGGAGAGAGTAGAGAGTGTGGGGAGAGAGTAGAGAGTGTGGGGAGAGAGTAGAGAGTGTGGGGAGAGTGTGGGGAGAGTAGAGAGTGTGGGGAGAGAGTAGAGAGTGTGGGGAGAGTGTGGGGAGAGTAGAGAGTATGGGGAGAGTAGAGAGTGTGGGGAGAGAGTAGAGAGTGTGGGGAGAGTAGAGAGTGTGGGGAGAGAGTAGAGAGTTTGGGGAGAGTAGAGATTTTGGGGAGAGTGTGGGGAGAGAGTAGAGAGTGTGGGGAGAGAGTAGAGAGAGTGGGCAGAGTGTGGGGAGAGAGTAGAGAGTGTGGGGAGAGTGTAGAGAGTGTGGGGAGAGAGTAGAGAGTGTGGGGAGAGAGTAGAGAGTGTGGGGAGAATAGAAAGTGTGGGGAGAGTGTAGAGAGTGTGGGGAGAGTGTGGGGAGAGTAGGGAGAGTGTGGGGAGAGTGTGGGGAGAGTAGAGAGTGTGGGGAGAGTGTAGAGAGTGTGGGGAGAGAGTAGAGAGTGTTGGGAGAGAGTAGAGAGAGTGGGGAGAGTGTGGGGAGAGTAGAGAGTGTGGGGAGAGTGTGGGGAGAGAGTCGAGAGTGTGGGGAGAGAGTAGAGAGTGTGGGGAGAGTATAGAGTGTGGGGAGAGAGTAGAGAGTGTGGGGAGAGAGTAGAGAGTGTGGGGAGAGAGTAGAGAGTGTGGGGAGAGAGTAGAGAGTGTGGGGAGAGAGTAGAGAGGAGTGTGGGGAG